GAGCTAGATCTCCATGGTGACTGATGCTGTGGAGCTAGTATTCGGAGATCAAACTTGATATCCTGATTCCAGCACAGCGAACAAAAAACGCAATTAAAACAAAAAAGAAAACAGAAAAAGACAAAAAAAACGGGTACCTGAATGAATATAATTACTTGAAGTAAGCATGCAAAAAAAAGAGGGGTTGCTATTTTTAGTTAATGACACTGAGTTCACCTGTTATTCACTAATCAAATGTTTATTTTCTTGCAGAGGAGACGATTCGCAGGATCATGGACATGAAACTGGACATCGAAGGTGAGTGTTTGTACAAATTTGTCCATTTGCACGTGTTCGATGTTGCAGGCTTTGCTAATAATCCAATAGTTGCTTTCATTATTGATTCTTGAGTTTGTCACGGTCTTTGTGAGAAAACATAATAAGCACACAGTCTTATGCTTTTTTTTACTCGTTCCTGTTTGTGTGCAGGCTTCTGTTTGTGTTGTGGAACGGACAGCGTTGACATATTCCACCCTCTGTTCAAAGGCAGCCTCTGCTTGAAGTGCAAAGTAAGAAAAGATCAGCCACTCTGCAGCAATAAGAGCCTCCTGATGCTATAATTACTGGTTTTAGTAAACACACGTGCTAAAGACGTCATGCTCCTGATTGGTTTCACGCGTTCTTATATAGATTTCACAAAGTCGAGAACATTTATTCACATTTACGTGGAGCTAAAGTGTCCCAACATCTGACCTGCAGCGGTGGTTAAAAGTTTTACATTTCTACATAAGTATGACCTGACGTGTGCGTCGGAGCCCCTTCTTGTTGCTTCAAAGTCAGAAAGTTTCTTAAACTGTCCTTACGATGTCTGATGGTGTCGGTGTTCCTGCAGAACAACTTCACAGAGACGCTGTTCCGCTACGACGAGGACGGATACCAGTCGTACTGCACCATCTGCTGCTACGGAATGGAGGTCATTCTGTGCGGCAACGACAGCTGCTGCAGGTTGGTGTGGTTACTGGTTTAGTTAGCTGGTTTCAGTTGGTCGGCTGGTTTCAACCATCTTCCCCTCTCCACCGTCAGGTCTTTCTGCGAGGACTGTCTGAACATCCTCGTCGGCTCGGGTACGTTCGATTCGCTGAAGGAGCTCGACCCGTGGATCTGCTACCTGTGTCAGCCTCACGGGCCCCACGGCGCCCTGGTGCCCCGCCAGGACTGGAGCGTCCGCGTCCAGGGGATGTTCGCCAACAACAGCGGCATGGAGTTTGTAAGTCGTCAGCAGGCCGAGGTCACATTTTTAACATGGTTTTGATAGAAACGTGGTGAGTGGAGGCCCAGATTTAGCTAGTCTCCAGTAGCAGTAGCATATCATGTTATAGCACAGCATGCTATAGTATTATAACGCAGTGTAGTGTAATACAGTATTTCCATTTATAAACCTGAAGTATTTTTAAGCTAGTAAGTATGTTGTGGCCGCGAACAGCAAAGGCTGATCACATCTGCTCACATGAGGAGATCAATAACAATACACAGTGAAGGAGGAAGTTAAAGTCGTGTAAACAGCAGTACAACGGCAGCAGAGGAACAAAAACAACCACAAAAACAACAGAGATGTTAGAAAGCAGAGTTCTGGAGCTCTCTGCCAGCCAGAAGGGAGGATCAATTGATTAATTAGAGTCAGACTCTACTACAGTCTGCTGTAAGATAATATATAATATATATTTAAGCACGTTTCAAAAAGATTTTTAAAAAATGTGTGTAGGGAAGTTAAAGTTTACAAGATAAGCAACTTTAAACAGCTGGAATACCTAACATTAGCAGCATCTGTGTTCTGCAGAATATCATAGAAGAAACAAAATAAAACGTACCGAGACACGGTGACATAAAACCCAGCTGCAATTTTTAAAAAAAAGAGTGTATTTTTGCAAAGGTCCTTAAAGTCAAATGTAATTAATTCCCCCCGACATAAATGTCTTGGGAGCTGCTCTTTCTCATTGACCACACTGTGTTTGTCCTGTTGTAGGAGCCTCACCGTGTCTACCCGTCCATTCCTGCAAACCTGCGCCGACCCGTTCGAGTTCTCTCGCTGTTTGACGGTGTCGCGACAGGTGAGCGTCCCGACGGGGCTCCGTCCGCTGCACCACTTTTAAACTAAACACTCCCTCCCGTTATTTATGCTGCGTATCTGCTCGTTTGTCTCCTCAGGCTACCTGGTTCTGAAGGATCTCGGCTTCAAAGTGGAGAAGTACGTCGCCTCGGAGGTTTGCGAGGATTCAATCGCCGTGGGGACGGTCAACCATGACAGGAAGGTCATCCACGTCGGTGATGTCCGGCTCATCACCCCGGAGCTGGTGCGTTCACATTCAGGCCTTTTGTTTGATACAGACAGGCTTTCTCATTTAGTCGCACCTCCCACCTTGTCACCTCGCCAGCTGAACATCTACAGACATCAGTGGACACTAAATGTACAGATGCTCCCTGAACGCCTCACAGTGCAGGCTGCAGTAGATGCTGCTGGGTGTTTCCATGAGCAGAGAAAAGCAGCATCTTTAACCGTAAACACCACAGTTGATGGTGCTCAGATAAATTTGGGGAGCTAAAATCGTTATTGTGATTAGTTTAGTTTTGCAGCCCTGCTTCTCCAGTAGCCGTTGTAATTGTAACAGTCTGTATTTTCTGCCTTCGCCTGAACTCTGACGATCAGGTGTGTCTGATTCAGAACCTCTCCATCTCCACCAGCCACCCTCATCTTGTTTTCATTTTGTTTCTTTTGAATAATCAGCTGTTGGTTGTTTACGTCGTTCCCGAGTCACGGTGACCCCGTGGACGTACATTCTCCAGCTTTTTGTTTCTTTGGTCGCGCCGTCGATCCGTTTGGCGCTGCACTTCTCCAGCTTCATTCCTTTCAGTCTCAGGATATGTCCAAAGTCTTTGTTCGTACGTCTCTGTTTAAGTCCCGGGGCCTCCAGGGAGCAGTTTGGTTGTAATTCCTCCAACACTGACTGGTTTGTTCCTTCGCATTCTGCTCCAGCACCACATTTCCAACGATGATCTTTGTTGCTTTGCTGACATCGTTGTCTTTCATTATTTTGTCCAGAGATTGCAGTTTTTCCAAGCACTGTGTGCACTGTTTTATTTCTGCAGCACATCCCCTTCTCTCTCTCTCTCTCTCTCTCTCTCTCTCTCTCTATCTCACTTTTAAAAAATAATCAGCGACAGATGCTTTATGTTTGGAACACATAGCGGCTAAACAGCTTGTTTTTGTGCATCATTAATTCACTGTAAGTTATAAAAACACTACTTTTCACCAACTCAGTATCTTCCTGGAGCGACACCAGGACAACAACACGCTCAAAAAAAAAAAGCAGATGAGACCATTTTGGAGTCATACATGGAGATAAAACACAAGGTTTCCACTGAATTAACCCTCAAATGCAGAATCTGTCTCTGTAGAAACTCTTTCAGGGCCATTTTTTAGATGTGAAGCATGTACTTACTTCTGAGCAAGTGACCCTGAAAAAACTGCTGTTTGGGGCTCGATGTTAAAAAAAATGTAAATTGGGGAACGCTGATTGGTTAAATTCAGAGAGTAAGGACAACAAGTGCCCTTTTTCCTGATTGAATAGCTGTCTATATGCTCTGATATCACATCAATAACATAAAAAAAACCCCTTCATTTAAAGTCTGGTGTGGATCGACTGAAATATGAACGCCAAACTGGAACATAAACAAACTAAAAACAGGACAGACAATTGGTTCTTCTCTTCGTAGGAGCTTTGTTACTCATCACACTTCTGCACAGGCCTCTGAACCGCCGTCTTCTTGCAGCGTATTTTCATTTCTGTGTGCAGCTCCAGGTTTCCCGGCTTTGTTTTGAATTCTCAACACATTTTACACTTTTTTGAGTTTCAGCCAGTTAAAAACAAACACCAGCGAGTGCTTCTAGCCCAGTAAACAGCGTTGTTTTGGACGTTCAATGAGTTGTTTTCCAATGAAACTGTCACCTTATTTATGTACGTTTTGTTTTGCATCTTGTGGTTCGATGTTAAAAATGTCAAAGTATACGAAGCGAACCAACGCTAAAATGTGCTCGTTTTTTATGGTGAACTCACCTTTAAAAAAAAACAACCACTAAGCAATACAGCTGTCAGTGTTCTTGTAACTGAAATGACAGACTTTTACCAGCTCATCGCTTCTCTTCGATCATGCAGCTCGAGGAGTGGGGTCCGTTTGATTTGCTGATCGGCGGCAGCCCCTGTAACGACCTCTCCATCGTCAATCCGATCAGGAAGGGCCTGTATGGTACGTAACTACATCTGTGTGTGTATGTGCTTGTCAGATTTATTACATCCGTTGACATCTGCTTTACTTTGCTCATCAAGGAGCTATAAAATTAACTATGGTGTTCCTCAGGGTTCAATCTTAGGTGCCACACTTTTTTTAAATCTGTATGTTACACTTGTTCAGTTTCCATAGTTACACTGATGACACACAGCTCTACATCGCCAACTGATGCCGCTTTAACTATATTTTAGACATTAATGGATGGAAAAGAAGTTTTTACAGCTCCATCAGGACAAAACTGAGGTTCTGGTCACTGGAACTGAAGCTCAGAAAGACGAGCTGATCTCACAACGATGAGCTCCGGCGTTAAAACCACGAAACAAGGCAAAAAATCTTCTACTCATCTTGGACTCTGCAGTCACTTTTAAGCCTCACTTCAAAAATATAACCAAGATGGGGTTTTTTATCACTTAAAAAACATCACAAGACTGTGACCAGTCCTCTCTAAAACTAAAGCAGAGACACTAAGAGATGCTTTTATCATTTTCAGGACTGAGTAGTGTTATACTCTCCTGTGTGGTCTCCCTAAGAAGACTATGCTTCCTCTTCTTATTTCTGTTATGTCTAAAGCACTTTGTGTTGCATTTTATTTGTATGAACAGTGTTTTTTAAATATATATAAAGTCTGATTGATTTAATAATCTGTTTATAGTTTAAACATCTCATCAGCCTAAAATGACAGCGAGTTTCAGCTTCTTAGAATAAAGTGCTGTTGTATTTTTGTGAATGAAACGACTGGATCGCAACCATCAGCTGGAGGAGCCACAAACAGTTGAAACCAGAAGTTTACATCCACTGTATAAAAAGACATAAAACCTTTCCTTACTCACTGTCTGACATTAAATCAGACTGAACTTTTCCAACATTATTTCTATTTACTAAACGCCAGAACCCAAAACGTTTGACCCAAGTCATGCAGTTTAAAGGCAACGCTACCAGGAGATGCTAAGGACATGGATGTAAGCTTCTGGTTTCAACCGTATTTACAAACGAGCACCTGACAGATTTCAACTTGAACGTGTTGAATATCTGTCATCTCCGTCTGTAATCCATCTGTCCTCCTGCAGAGGGCACCGGCAGGCTGTTCTTCGAGTACTACCGCATCCTGCAGCTGCTGAAGCCCAAAGAGGACGACCCCCGGCCGTTCTTCTGGCTGTTTGAGAACGTCGTCTTCATGAACACTCACGACAAAGTCAACATCTGCCGCTTCCTCGAGGTTCGACCCCCTCACATCTGTTTGAATCCTTAAACCTCTTTTCCTTCTTCTGCCTGCCTCCTTGCCTCCTTCTCCTTCCTTTCTTTACTAAAGTAACGCTCTGTTGTTGCTGAACAGTGCAACCCGGTGCTGGTGGACGCTGTCAAAGTGAGTCCAGCCCACAGATCTCGCTACTTCTGGGGAAACATCCCCGGGATGAGCAGGTGAGTGGTTTTACATCATCATCACTACTGACCTACTGGGCAGAAAGTGACACCACATTCACACACTGTAGCATGTCTGGAATAAATCTAATTAAATGTAATTAAATAAATGGTGTCGTGTGTCGGTGTTGTGTAGTTGGAGTAACTATAAAAGTATAGATGTGTGATAAATTGTTTTTTGTACTTTGTCCACTTTCTTCTCTTTGTTTTTATATTTAGTCTTCTCCAGTCTTTAATTTCCCTCCATCTTGTTTCTTAATCTTTATTTTCTTCATGTTTTATGAGTTTTTTTTGTTGCTTCTCCGTCCCCCTTCAGGCCCATTATCGCCTCCCAGAAGGACAAGCTGAACCTCCAGGACTGTCTGGAGATCGGCAGAGAAGCGAGGGTCAGTGGCTGAACCGACGTTTCTGTCATTAGAAACACTGATTATGTTCATTACGGTGCAAACGATCCTTTTTCTGTTGTTCCAGATGACGAAGGTGAGGACGATCACCACCAACCCCAACTCCCTGAAGCAGGGCAAAGGCGTGGCCCAGCTGCCCGTCCTGCACAACGGCAAAGAGGACAACCTCTGGATCACCGAGCTGGAAAAGTAGGTGTAGTGATGGTTGACGTGGAGTCAATGTGGAGCGTGTGTGCACACGTCAGACTGGCAGCTTACGGAAAGTTATCAGATATCTCACTGTAGGCAAATTAGTCACTGCAATATAAAGTCCTGCAGCTCCGTGGAAACAGAACAACCATGAAGAAGGAGAGAGAACTCAGTAATGTCTGCTGTCAGTAAAACACAGTTAGAATAACACAAAGAGATGCAAAAATGACTCAAAGCTCTGAAAAAATTCAGAAAAAGATGCAGAAATGACTCAAAACTATTAAAAAATGATACAAAAAGATGCAACAATTTCACTAAAAGATACAAAAACAACAGAAATTCTTGCAAAAATGACTCAAGACTATTAAAAAAGTGACACAAAAAGGTGCAAAAATGTTACTAAAAGATACAAAAACAACACAAATTCTTGCAAAAATGACTCAGAACTATTACAAAAGACAGAAAAAGATGAAACAATTACACAAAAAGATGCAAAAATGACCCATAAAGAAGCAAAAAATACTAAAGGACACTGAGGTTCATGTTTCAGCATAAAGTCCTGCAGCTCAGTGGAACCAGAACAACATGAAGGAGGAGGAGAGAGAACTCGGAGACGTCTTCTGTCAGCAGGAATCAGTCAGAATGACAGAAACGATAAAGAAATGTGAAATTAAAGTTGCATTTTTTTAATCATTTATTTTACAAAAAGTGAAACAAACCAACATGTTGAACATTTTCCACCATGTTGACTCCTTTAGTTCTATACTTACTGGTCCTCCTGAAACAAAGCCTCCGTTCAGCAGAGTTCAGACAAAAAGTCCCTGAATTTTTTTTTTTTACTTAGATTTGGTTGTTTTGTTTTGTTTTGTTTTGTTTTGTTTTGTTTTGTTTTGTTTTGTTTTACTGATGAAACCAAAAGTCACACATGATGAGTTCAGTGACCTTCACAAAGTTGGAAAATCTGTCGATGATTCCAGTTTAGACATTTTACAGATGATTAAAAATAACCCGTCCTCCATCGGTGGTTCTGAGGTTGTGGACGGTCAATCAGAATATCTGCCTCGTGTTGTTCAGACAAACCCATAAACTGTGAACGTCCTCCTTCCTGCTCCTCCAGGATCTTCGGCTTCCCCAAACACTACACCGACGTCAGGAACATGAACCGGCAGCAGAGGCAGAAGGTTCTGGGGAAGTCCTGGAGCGTCCCGGTCATCCGCCACCTCTTCGCCCCCCTCAAGGACTACTTCGCCTGCGAGGAGCTTCCCCCTATGATCACCTCCTCCACCTCCTCCTCTACCTCCAGCTCCTCCAACTCCACTTCCTCCACCTCGCCGCCTTCTCCTGCCTCTCCAGATGTGCAGCAGTCCAGATAGGGGAGGTCGGTTTTATTTCCTGTAGGAAGATCTTAAATCCAGATCTTCAAATCCAGATCTTCAGTTAATACTAGTTCTCCAGACTCTGTTTCAGGTTAATGCGTGGCTGCCTGCTAGCTTAGCCATTAGCCATTAGCATTAGCCGCTGTGAGAGAAGCTAACTTCCTGGTTTCTTGTTCAGTTTTCTCTGCTTGAGAGCCATTTATGAGAAAGACAGGAGGCTGCGTCACACCTCAGGTATCTAATTTATGCAGATAATCGTAAAAATGCCAAATATCAGCCATGATAATCGCTCTATCTCTAGTTTTTTCTTCCCCCCCACCGTACGTTTGTGAAGAACTTCTCAGAGTATAAATGGTCTCTGCAGTAGAGTCCAGCTCACAAACAGGCCTTTGTGTGGTTCGCTGCCACTGAGCCATTGTGTTGGCCGTGAGCTGGACTCATGAAGCATGTCGTCACCTCGACCCCCAAAGCTCCTCTCAGGCTGGCTCAGATTAGACGGCCTCCGCTTGGTGCTTTTCTCTCCACATGCTGGAGTTTTAAGACTCACGTTTTTAGCTCAGGACACTGCAGAAGCAGAAAATTCACCTCATCTGGTTGATCATGTGCAAGAAATCACAATATACTTATACATACGTCTTCATAGGGCAGCTTTAGTGCCATAAATCACACCAGAAAATCATGATTTTATCAAAAAACAAGGTAAATTCAACATGACCAGGTGTACTTACGGGTTTTATTGGTTTCCATATTGGCTTCAGTTTCTAGCTATGATATAAAAAGTGTATTTTGGGTGATTTTTAACAAGCTAACATGCTTTTTTAAATCCACTGGCAGGTTTTAGGGTTCAGAGGGTTAAACTATCAGGTGAAAGAGGAACGTGTTCATCATACAACACTGCTAGGTTTTAGATATGTGGGGTTTCATACAGGGAGCTGCCACTGGTGCTTCACTGAGCTCTGAATCATGTTTCTGGGAGACAATAAGGAACTTCTGCTGTTAAAAAAAGTCATGTATAGGAAATGTTTGTACATTTACTGCCTTCTTTTCTAATCTTGTTTTTGTGTATTTCTGGACCTTTTATTTTTTTAGTTGTGTCAGAGCAGAAAACGACAGCGACCTGGATGTAGTGTGTATTGTGTAGGTTGTGTTGCTGGTGCTGTCCGGCCTGTGTGAGTCCAGGTGTGTTGCACTGCCACTTTGCCGCCGACTGAACTGTGACGAACACAGAGGCTCGCAGGAGTCTTGACTTTTGGTGCTGAACGATAACGAAGCCATACTGTTGTTGGTGTTTTACTGTAAATAGACGGGACTCTGGTTTTTATCTGCTTTTTGTCTGTGGGAGAATCACAGGTGATCAAATTTAATTTGCTCATTTGATTTTAAACCGTTGCTGCTGAGCTTCTGTCTCCCCCTGCTGGCAGTGAGAGTCATTACACACTTGAGCTCTCTTAGACTGTAATCCTTCCTGTGAAATTATTTTTTATCTGCAGCATCAGAACCGTTTCTCGGATGCTTTTTAACGTTGTTGTAGCTGCTCTATCAATACGGTGCATTCTTTCCAACGGCCAGCAGGGGGCGACTCTTAACGAGTCAGATTATCTGGAAGTCTGTTAGAAAATGAGCCGACTTGTCGCTCCATCTGTAACGCCAGGAAACGTTTTCCTTCCTAGTTTATGATCCTAGCTGCTAGTTTTATGTCTCTTATAATGCAGCATCTTGTTAATTTAGTAGAATTATTTTCTTATTTAGGGGAAGCAGTTCACATAATAGCGTCTGGTTTAGAATGTAAAGGACATGTTTTTATATGCAAACGTCCCAAACTGCAGAGATTTCTTTTTTTCCCTGCATGGATGTCGATCTGTGTTTCTCAAATACCTCGAAAGGATCAGTTTACCATCACAGAGGAGTAAAGAAATAAGAAAAATATAGACTGAAGCTGGAATCAGAGAATTTGCGCTGCTTGAAACTGGTGAATTGAATAGTTTACAGCTAAATGAATACAAACAGTGAATCGTTGCAGCTCCAGCTGGTACTGATTTAACATCAGCTGTGTCTAAATGATAAGAATCTGGAATAAAAATAGAAATTCCTAATTAGGGGTTTCACTTACTTAGGTTTGGGGAAAAAAAGAAAAGGAAAAAATTGTTTTTTTTTGTTTTGTTTTTTTTAATCAAATGATCAGAAATATCAGGAAAAGGAACAGATTTCTGTCAGATCATGTTTACTCCCCTGATGTCCATTCAGAGCAGGTGAAGCCTGTTTAAGGTTCTGGTTCTGGCTCGGTGACACTGAGCCTCTGCAGATGTTGTCTGTGCTTTTCCTACACGTCATGATGAGGCCGTTCTGTGACTCTGGTCATTAATTATTACCTTGATCTGGTCGTTCTGATTCTCCAGACCGAGTCTTAACCACCGAGTCACTCGTTAGTCATCACATTAACCTGAATGACTCGTTTTGAGACTCTCTGACCTGTGAACTCATCCTGTTACTTGTTCAGACGTCTGTGAGCAGCAACCACAGCGTCTGATGTTGATGTTTTTAATCCTTCTTTCTCCGGTGATGACTGTGTTCTGGTACCGACTGCTGCCATCTGATGTTTGTATCATGAACATGGGTTTTAGGCTGAACACCATTTTGCACATATTAGCAGGTGACTGGGTTTAGAAGAATCATCTCTGCAGGTTTTTACACAGAATTGTTCATACTATTGATAAATTAGGGGAGTAATTGAATGGAAAACCGATTTTTTTGTATTGTTAATACGAATGAAAGAAATAAATGTCATCATGATCCCATGTTTGGTCTCTTTATTCCATGTTTGTCCCAAAGCAGAACCACTGAGAACGCAGAGTTCGTGTTTAAATGTGTTTTTATCTGATTTGATCTGGGGTTTAGGTGGCTTCTTGTTTTATGGGCTGAAAATAGAAGTTTTAGACTCCCTGTTGTTTAATTTAAAACCAGGACTATAATCCTGGCAGTGTAATTAGTGCTTTAGCAAGGCATGTAGACCTTCATGTGTGAGATATAATTTAACAGAATAAATAAATTACGAACATAGAAATCTAATTCAACACACTTTTTAAAGAAATATATAATTTTGGAGGCTTTTCTAAGATTTAACTTCACTTCAAAACTCGCTGAGGTAATTTATTAAAACGCACTGACTCCTTTGTTTGGCTCCTGTAAAGTAATAAAATATATTTTGTGTGTTTAAAAATAAAAAAAACAACTAAAAATATGTTCAACATTTGTTTGGAGTCATAATAAAAAGTGGTACTAAATCCCACTGATTTCCCTCACAAAGTTATACAAAACATTAAACTTCTTTATTTGTCTGTTAGTAAAGTCTCTCTGCAGCCACTGAGCAGACATTTCTAACAATAAGGCTAGATTTCAATAAACATTGCAGTTTTTTTTTTTTTTTTTTTTAAGATTGATTTGAGAAAATGTGCAGGAACATTGCATGTATGGTTGAGTGTGAGCATAAAATCTAAATGTAGACAGAGTAAACACATAAACAAACAGGTAAACAACTTTAGAAACAATTTGAAACCAGAGGAATAACCTAATTTAAATATCAAACTATGTTTCTCTTCAACAGCTTAATGTCTTGTTTAAAAACTAAACATTTCTGGATTTGTAGTTTCCTCTGAACATTTTTTAAATCCACTTGACCAAAGTGCTGACCAGGTTATAAAACATGAATAATATGTGCAAAGGCGAGACAGAAAGCAGGATCAAACCGGTAAAAACCAAAAGTCAAATATTATAAAGATCAATTTCTAAAATACATATGAAACACTAAAATATTAAGATTGCTAAGAGCGACGAAAGCCACCGAGAACATGCATGTCTTCAGATTTTTCCTAAAGATTGTAGATAAAGTAGAATTAAATGAAGAAGGTGGTTCTGGAGGTCTGGAGCCTCAACATGGAGCGGTTAACAGCAGAAGTTCTGGAAACACCCAGATCCACGTGCAGCTTCATAAACAAATAATAGAAGCACAAAATCCAGTCATCAGGTGGCACAGATAGAAACTCAGGTTCTGACTTTAACAGGCTGCTCGCTCTAATCAGAGAACTCAATATTAAACTCAATGTTAAAAATGTTCTCTGTCGCGACTGGACTATAAAATAAACAGAAAAGCAAAGCGGTTCAGGTCCGTTTCTCTACATAAAAAGCTCTGCTTGTAATCAGCGAGGGAGCTTCCAAACAGCTGCAGATCTTTAGAAAATGTGAAGTTCATTCAGTTACCTTCACTATTTATGTAAAAAACACAATGTTTTCCCTTTTATTTGAGAGAAATATCACTAGAATATTGATTTTCTAGAAAAGGTAAAGTCCCAGAATAAGTGTGTTTTACTAAAAGCACAGCTGGGCTTCAGTGTTTTTGCAGATCTTTCAATTCCCAGACCTGCAGGTTGAAGTCTGTGATATTTGAAGTGGACCCTCTCCAGTGTTGTGATTTAGCAGGAAGCTACGCGCTGACGTCATTACGTTTAGGCGTTAGCCGCTGCGTCCTGACGTCACGGCCTCGGTCCTTCGCTGCCGGTAGAGTGAGCGTGAACTGCCAAGAAGCGGAGAAGAAAAAGCAGAAGTGGAAACAACGTCGACACAAACACAGATTTGGCTTTTTATGACGCCGGGTGACAGCCGAGAAAACTAAAATCACCGTGTCCTACAACTGTGAACCGACTCCAGGTGGGTTTAACGCCGCCGCCGGGGCGGATCATTTATTTGCCGGCATGTGAAACGGCGGCTAAGCTCTGTTAGCTCTGGTGTTAGCTTGTGGCTAGCAGGAACCGAACCGGGGATGTGATCGTTTGTTCCCGGAGTTAACCAGACAACTCGGGCGAGGCTCCGACTGTCGCTAGCGCACTTCTCTCTCTCGAAGCCGCGGGAGATTTCGGGCCATTGCTTCTGAAAGCTGCTCTCTTTGGCGGCGGCAAGCTAACTAGGCTAACGAGGTGGTGCTTGGTGAGTTCAGGGCGGGGAAACCGTCTTAATGTCGGCGAGATAAACTGCCTCAGATTAGCCGGCTGTCGCATTTAGCCGGTGACAGAAACCTAGCTAGCATTAGCTACAGATTAGTAGCCTGAGCAAGTGAATTGGCTGCCAATTTAACCAGATGCCATGTAGTCGGCTGCTAGTTAACGGCTCATCCAGTGTGTTTAATAGCCGCACAGCTAAGCTACCTTTCAGAATGCTAAGCTGCTTACTGCCGAGCTAACCCCGGCTAACGTTAGCTTCCAAGTTTGTGAACGGGGCCCTGTTGCGTTTGGCTAGCTCTCACTTTCTATCAGCGAGTATCTCCAGACTTTAGCCCGAACCCGACCTCATCCAGACCCCCATCCAGCCTCGCCCCGACCTTCCCACCCCGAGCCCAGCCCGCTGTCTCCGCATCCCGGAGCCGAGCGCCGACCCCGGCACGGGGAGGAGGGCGCTGCGGGAAACACGGTTTTAACCTCATTTTAAGGACTTAGACACACAGCCTGACTGCTGTTAACTAATATACCTGTAAATAACGGTTATTTGAATGATTAGTCATCAGCTGATCCCTTTTCTGTTAAATATTTTAGCCTATGAGCTCTAGAGAATAGTGATCAAAGCTCATCTTAGTCTGTTGTAAATAAATCTGAAGTCATCAACTTGCACATTTTGTCCAGATATATTAGCTTTACCAAATATAAAACAGGAAAAACCTTAAAATCTTAACATTTTGGAAGCTGGGAGCTCACGATGTCTTGACTTTACATTAAAAAAGACAAAAGAATTGACTGACAGTTGTCTCTGCTCTATTAAATTGATAGTAAATAGAAACAGAGTCAAATTGAAGCCATTAGTTCATCATTAAATGTGTTTAAACAGTGGAAACGGCAAACCTTTTATACTCTAACACAACACCAGAGTCTGCAGTGAACATCTCCTGACGTGAAGCCTGCTCATATGATTGACCAGCTTCACTGATCCGTGACTAAATGTTTGTTATCCACCATTCAGATGTGGAATCATCTGCTGGAATCACATTTTGTTGTCCGGTTGTGGACTCCCTCCTATACAGCCTCCAGCGATTACTCTCAGCTGCTGAGGAAATAACTGTCCCGGTCTGACCTGAGCCGCTGTGGATGATGATGGTTTCTGTTGTAAACGGAGACTACCATTACATCTGTAATGACCGCATTACACATAATGATCGATGATTGATTTTGTCCTGCACAGAGCCAGAGACGGGCCGTTGGATTACTAAGTGCAAGCAAACACAAAATGAAATGTTAACTTGGACGCCAAAACCATTGGTACACACAGGTCTCCTCCATGTTTCATGTGATCATATTAGAATAAATCTGAAGACCCTGTGTTTGGTTTTAGTGTGTTACCACCAGTGTTCTGATTAATTAACCAAATAAACAATCAGCAGCATTTTATTCTGCAATCATTTTAATAATCCGTTTATCGCTTAAATTCATTTCAACCCATTTAAGCTTTTCAAATGCACATAATTACCTGCTTTCTTTGACTTCTGTGACATTGAAGTGAAAGTTTAGGGCGTAAACTGTTGGTTGGGCTGTAAAAGGAATTAGGAGATGATGGAAAGTTAGAATAAACACTTTTATCTACAGTTTTGTGAAGTTTTACAGAAGCAGCAAGTCATTTTCTAGATGATTAGATGGAGAGATGACTTTACAGCTCCACCGTTGCCACAAAATACAAATTCAGTGATCCAGAGCTTGTTCATGTGAGAATATTCCTGTCAAATAATTTCTGAATTGGTCAATTTAAAGGTAAAAAAATAAAGTGCCTCATAACGCTGACAGAGCAGCGATGATACAACCTGATGTGCTGGTGTATTTAAACTCTGTCATTGCATTAAAGTTTCTCTCCGTTTCACACTTTTTTCTGCCTTTGTTTTGACGTCCTAACAAAGCTGTGAACCTTCTCCTTTGGTCTCTTCATCAGACCGACGATGGCTGTGAACGTCTACTCGACCTCAGTGACCAGCGACAACTTGAGTCGTCATGACATGCTGGTGTGGATCAACGAGTCTCTACAGATGAACCTCACCAAGATAGAAATGTTGTGTTCAGGTAAGGATTGTGTGTGTGTGTGTCACTCTCCAGCTCATTAATGGACAGATTTCACACCTCATCAATCAGTCCGGGGGCAGGGCCGTCACCTTCAGGAAGCTTTAATGTCACACAGATAACTGTAAATGTGGATTTAATGGTTGAACTGGCAGCTTTGAATGCCGCCTTGTTCCTGCAAATCCGACAAATCGCCCCCCTTTAAAAAGCAAAATGTTCCCACAGCAGCTGAGTTTATGACGATGATGTCAGTCAGTGTTTGCTGAAATGCAGTTCGTCGACTTCTACAAGTGGAGCGCCTCAAGATAAACAGTTGGTGCCCTCGAACCACAGCGGAGGAACGGGGGAGGCCAACGGTGACTGAAACAAGACGTTTCTGTCGGTTCCGCTGAGCTGTTTTCATAAGGACGGATGAAAAACGACTGCAGATCTGCTCATTATGTAACCGCTGTGACGGGCCTGTTCACGTCGTCGTGTTGGAGGAACAGAGGGGTTTGAGCGAGGGTGATATTCTACACCAGAGTGAGAGTTTGCTGATGTGGAGGAGCAGCAAGATGCTCAAAATGATGACAATGACACGAAAACTCAGGTGTTGATCATACGAGGGAGGTCTGGGCGGGAAACGACAGGGAGAGGTATCAGCAGGACCGTCAGTCGCAAACCGCCGTGGAAGCAAAATCCAAAGTTTGGGGTGAATGTCAGCGACGAGGAACCAGAACCAGCTTCACCGGGTCACCACCGGGTCACCACTGGGTCACCACTGGGTCACTTCCTCGGTTTGTTTGTTTCATGTGTCCAAAGACGAGATCCGTCCTTTACCCTTGTTTGTTTATGTCTGTAAATTAATTAGTGTTTTTTATTGTCGGGTTAAGATTAAAATACCTCGTCTAATGGGCAGAAATGGTTCAAGACCTTTATTTGTCACAAACGGCATCATACACAGTAAAACGCACCAGTTCCACACCAAAACAAGAATAAAGGATAAAAATAGATCGCTATCGATATAAGCAAAATAGATTAAATTGTCGAATTGTGCAAAAAAAAGTTTATATACAAGGTGAAGAGTGAACAGTTTGGTTGTCTATGAAGTCACTATGAAGTAAATTCAGATTAAACGTTTTCTGTTGGAAAGAAAACATCAAAACAATCAATAATTCATGATATGGATCGGACGGCCCGGATGTGAAGCATGTTTCAGGCTTTCCTTCTTTTAAATGCGTTCATGGGGGAATTTGTGGAAGATTAGCGGCTTAAAAAGTTTTAAACCGTTGACACAGATTTGGTTTTCAACAGAATCAAACGTTCTTGTGTTTACTGTCGTGTCAAGTGTGATTCTTTTATAATAAACGGTCCTGATTCAGTTCATGTGTCGGTAGATCAGCACCGTTAACACTGTGTTTGTTAAATAGATGATGGACAGAAACATTAACTTTCTGAACCTAATAAACGTGAACATTGGCTGCCTGTGCATGCATGTGTTGTCAGTGTGCCGTGTTCATATCTAAACCCCGGGCTTTGAAGTGTGTAATTAAAAGGCGTGTCTGGGCAGCGAACGCCGGGACAATGTGCTTTAATCCCCTGTGGACGGATACATGAGTCAACTGGTTTCCCATTTGTAGCCGTGTAACAAAAAGATGACTTTGCATTCGGGGGGGTAGAGAAGCACCATCTGCAATGACGACCTGCACCCAGGATGAGCTGCTGAGTAACGCTGCAGGAAGTCAGCGTCTCTTCACTGTTTTCTCAAACATCAGACGTGAACAAAACAATCGTACGGGAGCTAAACAAAAGCAAAACTGTTAGCGTTCAGCGTTAGCCTTCAGTGCTCTGTGCTGTGTTTAATGTAGCTCCGATTACCAGACGAGTGGCGTGGTTTAGATATGGAGTTATTAAAGTGTTGTGATCGCTGTCAGTCACTGGTACGAAAGAAAGCCACGAAAAGGATGGTAGATGCTCTGAAAGATGTTCCACCATCATCAGTAGAAAGATGTTCCACCTTCAGCTAGATCTATCTCCACCAACTGGCTCTTCTGTCCTCTGGTTCTGATCCATGCTGCATGTATTCATTGACCCAGTAGGTTGGACGTTCCTCTCCATCTCTCTGAGGAAACTCTGGCTGCAGTTCAACCTGAAAACTCTCTGAATCTTAATCATAACTCAGTCAGTTGTAGCTTGCATACAGAAACACAGAATTTATCTGTTTTTGTTAAAATAGAATCTGGTTTGTGGATGTGTAGAATAAAGTTTTTTTTCCCTCCATATGTTCATGGACCATCAGAAAGTTGAACCTGTGACTGTTTTTATTTACACTACGAGCTCTTCTTTCATTCCTCTCTCATGAACATGGACCAACGTTTCTTCTTCTGCTGCTGCTCTTTAACATTCACTCCCTGTGGTAAACGTCCTCGCCGTCTGTTCTGTGTCCAGGTGCTGCCTACTGCCAGTTCATGGACATGCTGTTCCCCAACTCTGTGCCTCTGAAGAAAGTCAAATTCGGTGCCAAGCTGGAGCACGAGTACATCCACAACTTCAAGCTCCTGCAGGTCGCCTTCAAAAAGATGGGAGTGGACAAAGTGAGTAGTGATGTGCACCTACACGCCGGCTCCAAATTACAGGCGGCGCAGAGGAATCTGACATCAGAGGGCAGGCGGTCGGCTGAGTTTACCGTCTGGAAGCTGCTCCTCTGGCTGTGGCCCATAACAGGCAGAGAGCTGATGCTTCATCAGGCAGCTCTGATCAGACTGTCTGGGGTTGTTGGTTTAACAGATGAGCTGCGATGTCCGTCTGTCACCTGCACATCTTTACCTGAGCTGCTCGCTTTTCTTTTTCTATTGATATTTCTGTTTTTATAGTTCATGACTCTTAAAAAGAACTCACCTTTTGTTGCTTTGGGATGTAGTCAACCGAAGAATTGCTTCAAAACACCTGCAGGTGAACTAAACGCTCAGATTTCTGTGTTTGCGCCACATCGAATCACAAGAGATTAAAGCCGCTGCACATATTTATGTGACAGAATATAGCACAGATAAGTCAGCTGCTGCTTTCAGATGATCCACATGTTGGTTGTTGAGCTGCGATAGTCAAACTTTAAACATCTTGCAGCCACACAGACGACTTCGTTGACACGCTGTCGGTTGTTTTGTGGCCGACTCAGAGTAAACCTTCAAGAAACATCAACTGAGTCTCCATCGGGTCGGGCCGGTTCAAAGATAGGACAACGTGGGGGTGTTCAGAGTTGGTCTGTTCTGGAAATAATGGATTAATCCTGGATGGATGTTGCTGATTGTCCAACCAATGAGAGTCAGGCATGATGAGAGCAACTAGACGACTTTCTTTATGCTCCTCTCTCAGTTATGTTTCATTAGATTTTTCTGTGTCCTTACCTACTTTGTAAAGTGTCTTTGAGTGTCTTGAAAAGTACTCTCTAGGTATTATTATTATTATTATTATTATTATTATTATTGTTATGGATGCTACAGCTGCAGTTCAAGAAGAGCATAAAAACTTGAATAAATATTGTTTTTGAGGTTTAAAAACTAGTTCTATTTCTGTCTGGTGTCATGGAAAATAATGGATGAGTCCAGGAAACCCTGTGGCTGTAGCGCTGTTTTGCTTAATGAAAGTAAAGCAGGCGAAAGCGTATCGACCAACCAGTGGACCTCCAGCGCTAAAGGAGTCTGAGGGTATCGGGTGGAGGATGAAACAACAGCTCGTACAACCTTTGGTCTAGTTGTCGAGTGTGATTTCTGAACGGATGTTGTGTTTTAGCACCGATCTGTCGGTGAACAGCCTCTAAAGGCATCGTAGCGGTCGCTCCATCAGTCGTGTTGCAGACCGCTAAACGACACAAATTGCGATGAACTCAGCCAGCAGCTGATGTATTTGTCCAAATCCCCCGGTGACCGAGTAAAGACGAAACAGATGGAGACTCAACAGGTTGCCTTTGTTGTCATTGTACAGCATGAATGACCAAATTGTGTATCGTCCTCTTGTAAGGTGGTTGAAGAGACACACGTACGTTAAAATCAGTCATAGCTTCACACACTCATGAATAAAGTCTGAAACAGATCGTACATTAACAGATAGAAGCTAACGCACAGCTAGCCTAGCGCTAACCCTCTTCCCTCTGCTGCCTCCAGATCATTCCAGTAGACAAACTGGTGAAGGGCAAGTTCCAGGACAACTTTGAATTCGTCCAGTGGTTCAAGAAATTCTTTGACGCCAACTACGACGGGACGGAGTACGACCCGGTGGAGGCGCGACAGGGCCAGGACGCCATGCCCATGCCCAACCCCGCCACGTCGGCTCTGGGCAAGACCCCCAGGAAGCCCCTCACTCAAGGTCAGCGGGGCGGGTCGGAGCGGTGGGCCGGTGGTGGTGGTGGTGGTGGTGAGTTGTGAACCGGGCCGGTGCTGACCTTCTGTCTCGTGTCTCCACAGCCGCTCAGAGGCCACCGGTCGCCAAGGTAGCGCCCAAGCTGGCTCCCACCAGCGCGAGGAAGCCGGGGATGGGAGGAGGCGACGAGGAGAGGGCGGAGATCCTGAATGAGGTCAGAAAAAACAAGATCTGTTGGCTTCATGAAGCACTGATCACGTCTCTGAAGGGGGGAAGGGTCGGTCGGTCTCACAGCAGGCAAACAAATCAGCACTTTGTTGTTGTAGTTTCACGAAAGCCATTTCAAATGTTCAGTATTTCTGACAACACAACTCGTACAGCTTTGAACTTTAAGTCGGACACAGACAAAGTAGTTCCCAGCAGATCCAAGTAATTAAATGGCTCCAGCAGGGGCCAAAACTGTAATTTTAGACCCTTGAAAATGGGAAAAAAGTGGAGAATTGTAACAGATGAGGGTTGTATTGGGACCCCAGACAGTTCCTCTCAGTATAACTCTGCACATCAGGGTTTGTAGTTCTACTAAGAGTCCACGTTTTCTTTTTTGCACACAAGAAGAGCAGAAAAGTGGAACCTTGTCCGACCATGTTAACCCCACATCAGTCTGCTGATGTCAGAGGCCTCAGACGTTGGTGAATTATCCACCAAAGACTTGATTTTCTACATTTCTCAGCTTATTTAGTTTCCAAAAATTGAAAAAAGAAAACTGGTATCAACATGCAGAACATTTCTCCAACGGCCTGAAGTTGTACCAATGCTGCCTTTATGTGCAGCAGATGTTTTAGTTCTTATGTTTTTAATCTGTAAGTAGTTAAACATCAGGTTTTCACACTCGTCTCCTGTAAACACTGCCACTCATGGCTTCTTGTTGTGTCAGACGTCTTCTACAGAAGCTGGTTAACTGTATGATGCTGATTTTTGGCATTTTTTTAATTAGTAGGAAAACATAGATGCATTTGAAAACATAGTTTACACTGACAGGAACTTTCCTGGACCCCAGTACCAACCTCGATTCCATTTTCAAGGCCCAATAATCACAAATCCGTCCTCCGTTGGAGCTTTTTGATCATCAGAATCTGCTGGAAACTGTTTTATCTGTGTTTGCACCAAATGTCACGGCTGTGGGAGTTTAAATTCTGGAGTTATTGAATCCTTAAACTGGGTTTCAAAGGTGAAAATACAAAAAAAAAATCACAGAATGCTCAAACTTCTGGCCATATATTTTACAGAACTTGTTGTCTTGACCCAAATAACGACTAAATAAACCCTGAACAGAATCAGAGACACATGAATTTAAAAGCCTGTTGGACCAGAACCACAACCTGACGTCGCCTTTTTTCTCCACCCACAGATGGAGATGCTGAAATCCACCATCCGGGACATGGAGAAGGAGAGAGACTTTTATTTTGGTAAGCTGCGGAACATCGAGATGATCTGCCAGGAGAAGGAAGGCGAAGGCGACCCGACAGTGCAGAGGATCGTAGACATCCTCTACGCCACAGACGTGAGTTTCTGGTTCCTGGTTGTTTTTAAGACACAACATGAGCTTCATGTAGTTTATTTACCACCTGATAGGAAACGCTCTGAGCAGGTGGAGCTGGTTGTGAAGATGTAGTTTACTGTTGAACATGAGCAGCGGGTTCCTGTAAACCCTCCTCCCCTGGTCCAGCACCGAGCCAAAGCCCATTTGTTTGTCTGTTAACAACTGCTGATGCCATTGCACATTCCTGCCGAGGAATGGCATGCAGCCTGCTCTGTGAGGCCGAAGGGCTCCGCTGGCGCTGCCCGTCTGGACCGGCGCTGGTTGGCTCCACCGGCAGCCAGGAGCTCAGCCATCAGGCAGTAACAAAGCAACTGGGCCTCTCCTGTAGGTTCTACAGAGAAGAACCAAGCTGGGTTTTTTTAGTGATCACCTGTGAAAGTGACCCGACGCAGGTCCATCAGTAACGACTTTAAATTAGATAGAATAGAATAAAATATCCTGATTAGTCTGACAGGGGGAAGCTTGAAACGTCACAGAAAGAAACCTAGAAAACCAGACTATAAGGAGGCCAGATCTAAACACTATGTACACAATATAAAGAGAAATAAATGACATGTTGAGTCATATAGAAGGTAAAGACAACACCAGCTGACTGAATTTTACATAAAACAGCTAAAAAACTGCTTTTCACCGACAACATCCACAATATTCATAATAACGGTGCTTGTGTCGCGCCTTTCAAAACACTTTATAAACAGAAAACATGAGCCGTCGTCTGAGTGACGCCTCCTCTGGTCTCTACAGGATTAAACAGTAGGAGGCTCCACCTGGTGGAACAACCAGGTACTGCAGCTGGCCTACTGCGTTAAACAGTAGGAGGCTCCACCTGGTGGAACAACCAGGTACTGCAGCTGGTCTATGATAGATTGACTGACATGCACGGCCTTCTGCCTTCCTGTGAACAGTTTGATTAAAATATTAACATTAATTTTTGGATGTACACTTAACCATTGACATCCCTTGTGGCGTTTCCCCCGATTCTTGCATATATATATATATATATAAGTCTGAGAAGATAAAATGTGATAATAAATAAATTAAAATTCTAAAACAAAAATTGGAAAATATAAATAAATAAAAATAAATATAAAATATATAAATAATAATTTTAGACTTTTTTTTTTCAAAGAAGACGTTGAAATCTGACGTATGAACCGATACGATTACATCTGAAGGACAAACTGGAGGTCTGCTTGAAATGCTGTTATTTTAATGCCACATAATGTTTTTTTAAAATCCATTCAAATAACATTTTATTTGCTTTTTAGCACAAACAGACTCTGTAGCCTTCAGACTCTGAGCTCCAGGCATCAGGTAACGAACTGAACCGCTCAGCTCAGGGTTGGTTTGTTTGTTTGTGAGACCAGAGAGACGAGGCTGCATCACACCTCGAGCATTTATCAGTAATCAGCTGGTAGACATACAGATAGTCAGGACAGCGCCAGACATCGACCCGCTAACCGACCACCTGTAGCTGTACATCTGTGGCGCCGCCTCACGTCTCGTTTCTGTCTGGTTCTGTTCAGGAGGGCTTCGTGATACCGGATGCCGAGGAGCAGGAGGAGTTTTAATATTCAAGACTGCAAGCAACTTTTCTTTTCAATGCCCCCGGTCTTCAAAAACCCACCTCCAAATCCTTCCTCAGGCCGAGACGGTTCGGTTTCACATCCAGCGCCGAGCCGGACCTCGACTTGTGCTCCCCGACCCCCTCCCTCCCGACCCGCCGGACCTCTTCCTTCAGTCCTTCGGCGCCGTACAACTCATCTTCTGTCGACGAAGCCTCGGCCACTGCCTCTTCCTGCTCGGCTCCCGTCAGGCCCCGCCCCCTCCCCGCCTGTAACTCCACCCCCTCCGGAACATATCTGGTTTTTTGTAACGGACTCTTTGAGTGTGAAAAAAAACAAAACGAAACGAAACACGGTGATGTTCTGTGTGCGTGCGCGTGGTTGTATGTGTTTAATAATCAGTCAAATCGAAACGTGAAGAACCTCCTCTGCGGACCCGGCTGCCTCTTCACCGCCTCGTCCCGGACCGACCCGGATCGTTGGGTTTGGCGGCGCTGCGGCCGCTTTCGTGCCTCAATTATACTCATTTGTAAGATGCGTTCACAGACCTGACGGAAAGCAGGAAAGGAAAAACACATTCCCAACTAGAGCTCTAAATCTGGGCTGAATTTTTTTTGCTAAATGAAACTCGACTGCGGGTTAAATGAAACGTGGAGCGGTCCGGTCCGGTCCGGATCAAGGCGGCGGCGGCGGCCGGGTCTTCTCTTGGCCTTTTTCCACCTGTGACGAGTTGTTGCCACCAAGGACGCCTTCCTGATGAGCTTTTGTAAATTAATGCTACTCACATCTTTCCCCCTTCACTCCATTTTGTCTTGTTGTTGTTGTTGTTGTTGTTGTTTTTGTTTGTTTGTTTTTCGGCGCCTGTCATTCGAGCCCTCACCTTTTTTTTTTCTACACCTTGTTTAAGTTGCTCACGCTCACTAAACGACTGTTGGAAAGGTTTTACATGTGTGTGTTTTCCCACCACAGAGAAAAGAGTTTGGCTTTTTTGTTTGGGTTGCTCTTCTTCTTGTAGCAGATCCACCGCTAACACGCTCCGTTCACATTTCAGGCTTCCTAAATGTGCAATTCGTGATTTCCAGGCGAGTCGTTGGCTCTCAAGAGTCGATCGACAGTAAAAACGTAGCTGATCCACGTTTTGCAGCAAACACTGTGAGCTCCGACCGCAGCACAAGCTAACGTCGGGTTTCTCCCGAAGCTAACGTGGGATCAAAAAGCTCAAAAGTCTCCCCTGAAGCCAGATTCTTCTTTTCTCGCCCCTCCACTGACCAGTTTTAATCTTGTATACTGTGGATCTGATCTGAGTTTTTCCACTGTACTGTGTTTAAAAACGAAAAAAAAAAAACTTAAAAAAATTTTTGTTCCACGAACTCTTAACAGCAACTTGTTGTTATTGGAAGACACAACTCTCTCAGTGGCCTTATTCATACGATGATTTTTTTTTTTTTTTACTTTCTGTACGTTTCTGCTGTCCCGGCCAAATGTTTGTACTGTTACGGTCATAATTTTAAATGTGTTCTGAATCGGAGGTTTTCTGGGCAGCTGTGTCAGGGTGCAGCCTGTCTTCCATTAAACGCTCGCAAAGCAAACAAGAAATTATATATTTATGTTGACTTATTTGTTGTTGTTTTTTCTTTGTTCTTCTTGCCTTCGGTTTGATCTCGACGTCGCAGCTGCAGAATTAAATAAATCAAAGACGAGCTGATCGATATTCGTCGAACGCATCGGATGTTTTTCTGCCTTCAGCGAGACTCTCGATGTTTTCTAATTATTTTCCGAATGTACTGACTCTCCGAACAGCAGTCTTGTCGGTTGGCGATAGCTTTTTGTTCCTTCCGTGTGCTTTTAGCTTCGATTTGAGGATTTTCGTGCGTGTTCGGAGCGCCATCTGCAGGACTTTTACCGTCTTTTACTCGACATGTAGCAGGAAAAACTCAAGTAAAGTGACGAGTTTCAGGAACAAAAAAAAAAAAAAACATCCCCAAGAACAAGAACTGCCAAATGCTTACCTCAAATATTAACACTATCCGATACGACTTTAACACTCCTGAAACTGCAGATTTGACCTCAAATACGCAACGAAAGAGTCAAATCAAAGTTCTGGAGTACAGATGCAACAAAAAACGTCGCTGAAGACGACGTGAAGCGTTTTAACATGAGTTCAGTGGATTTACCCGAACTACTGCTCTTCCATCGGCTCTACAGAAGTCGTAAGCAGACACGAGGAGCGTTTGAACAACGCGGTTGACTTTCCTTCTTTATTCCAACCATGTTTTGCCATGTTGTCATTTATTCTCTGTTTTTAAGGTTAGTTACTGAAACTACCAGCGATTATCTTCACGCTCGATTCGACGCTCGGCCTAAAAAAACTGAAAGAAAACGGTGAAAAGATTCGATTAAATCCCAACAGGACTTCTTTTATCAGTTTACTGGCACAGAGGAGGAGAGGAAGCAGAAAAAGTTCACTTTTAAGAGAGTTTTTAATCTTTTTTTCTTGAAGCAAACCCGTTAGAAACCTTTCAGTCGACCTGCGGTGACGTTTTAAAGGACGCCGCTCGGTTTAGTTAAACTCAGCTTCAGATTGGGTGTTATTCTTCTTTTGGAGGTGAGAAGGTCGAGATAAACAAAAGGAAACTTTCTGTTTCCTCGATGCAGGAAAACGGCAACTTTCTGCCGCGAGCCTTATGCAACGTCGTCGTCGGGGGCGTGGCCTCCTTTGCGTAGCGGCCTCCGGACCGACCCCTCCCGGTGCCAACGAGGCCTCCGTCCTCCCGCCGCCGAGGCCCTGGAGCGGTACCGACCCGTCTGTCCTTCACCGGAGACTTCTTTGACAATCGTCTGGTTTTTGGCGACGGTTTCCTGACAGCGTGTTTGAAGTGGCGTCGACCGGTTGGTGGTAGTGACGTGTGTCGTTGTGCGTTCGTGTTCAGGACTGTGTGCGACGGTCGCTCAGCCGTTTGTGTGTTTTTTTTTTTTTTCGTTTTTTTGAAACTGCAGAAGACGTCTGAGCAAAGAGAGACTCTGGCTGTGAAGGCGGCGGCGGCGGTTCTTTCTCCTCTCTGTCCAGCTTCTCTCTCTTTCATGTGTTTCTTATATTCTGCTGAACTCGATTTTCCTAAATCAAGTTTCGTACCGACAATAAAACAGTATTTCCACGTCAGACTTGGCTGTTTTTTTAATTCCTCGAGAATCTATTTGTGTCAAATTTCTTTATAGAGACACAAAAAACATTTTAAAGACATTAAAAAACAACCAAAATTATTAATTACTACGATTTTCTGGTAAAAACTGAGACTTGGAGTCTGAAAACTGAAGAAAACGTTTATTTACGTGTTATTTTAATGCAAAAGAAGCAGATTATTTTAACCTTTCACTGTACAAACAGGTTTTGAGAATAAACTGCTCTGTGTGAGTTACTTTATTAAAATTTTTGAAAATAAAACATACAAATCACTTCAAAATCCACAAGAAAATAAATTTAATTACATTTAAATGCAAAGCACAAACAGTATTTATTTTTTAAAAGTTCAAATAATATTTTTAAATGTGATTAAAAAATAAACAAAAATAACATTAATTACAAAGAAAATGTAAATATGAAGTTACAAAGATTTCAGTTAATTAAAAAAAAATAAAATAGAAATTCTAATAAAATATAAATCCACAGAAATATTAAAGAAAAATAATCTAAATTAAGTAAGAAAAGAAAAAGATAATTTATAATTGCAAAAAACAAATTAATAAAAAATGCAAATGAGTGTGAGATTATAAATGATGCAAATTAATTCAAAATAATTGACATTTTCTATTTTTTTCTATTTATTAAAAATACTAATTCTAACACATTTTCATTTATTTTTTTAATAACTCAAATGACTCAAAAAGAATGAAACTGGGAATAAAAACAATAATTCTGAGACACACCAGAGTTTTTAAAGTTAATCAGTGAACTCACAGTTTTACAGAAACTGAAGCAGAAGATGCAGTTTGTTTGTTTTCTCTTCATTTTAATCCTGATGCTGTTTCTTTGCTTCTTCCGTTCACAAACTGGATTTTGTCGCCACCTGCTGTTTCTCAAACCAAACTTCACGGTTTAGATGAGACGTCATCCATCCTTCTGCTGCACTGACGTTTCTAAATATTATTATTAGATTATTTGTCCATGTTTACCTCCAGGTTAAGCTTTCTGGATTTATGATTCATGATTTATGACTATTTGTTTTAATGATTCAGACCAAAGTTAATTAAAGTTTTCACATTTTTATTTGTGATCAGAGGTCAGGACCCATCAGGCGCTGATCACCTCCATCAGTCTGACTCCATTTGCTACAAAATAAAACAAAAACTGTTTGGAAATTAATTAAAAAGCAATAAAAAAGCATCACATACAGTAATAATGCAACTTTCCCCACAGACGTTATTATACAAATGAATAAAACAAAGAAGTCATCAGAAAGAAATTTGATCAATAAACACCAGAATTACTCAGAAAGTTTAGACACTAACAATAAAAATAAGAAAAAGAAAAGAAAAGAAAAACAATCCCTCATAACGTCACCATAACATCACCTGTAGATGAAGCTTCTCTAAAACTCGCTGCTCTGCTCCTTTAATCAACCGGATGTACTTTGAGCTCCCGCGGCTGCCGTTCCCCCTCTAAGCCCCGCCCACCGCGCAGGTGACGCTAATGAAGCGCACCTGAGAGCGGCGGGAGGTTCGATCTGAGTCCGTATCGGCCAGGAAAAGGAATAAAATAGAAGTAAAAGAAGAATAAAGAAGAGGAAGAAAAGCAGCTGGAGTCTGAGGAGGAGAAACACCTGAGCAGGTGAGTCGGCTGCTTCCTGTCACGCTGCAGCTTTTATAAAGTCTGTAGAAGCTCGTGACTGAGATTATAAACGACTGACTGCTGTTTTGTAGGTTTATTATTAAATGACACTAAACATCCAATAAAATCACAACCAAGTGATTTAAAGGTGAACCTGGAGCTCACGTCACGACTCTACGGTTCATGAACTAGTTCTTCTGTTCGACCACATTTTTACAGGATGTATTTAAAAAAGTTTTCATTTATGTTTTAATTTGCTGCTATTTGAAAGAGAAGTTTTATTTACATTATGGACTGAAATCTGTTAAAATCATCGTCAAAAAGAATTAATTTCTTTGTTAACCTTTTAAAAAGTTTCAAAAACGGCAAAAACTTGAATCTACATTTTTACAAACAGTGATTTGTTCTTTTGCAATATTGACCAAAAATGACTTATTTTTTTATTTACATCATATTTTAATTGCTGCTATTTCAAGTTATCTACATTGAGGATTGAAGTTTGATAATAATCGGGGGGAAAGTACTGATTTACATGTTAGCTGTAAAAAAAAAAAGACTTCAAATGTCTTTAGAAATAATAATTCATTCTTCTACAGAGTGTGATTTATAGATTTGCAGCTTCAGCGTCTCTAAATGAACTGAAATCTCATCATTTTACAGGTTTTTGCTGCTTTCACTGTTTTCTAACGTCACAGTTTTAGTTTTTCTGTTCTGGCGTCCTCGCGGCACCATTTATTTCCAGGTTTGTTTTGAATTCTCTTTTACTTTTTGGAGGTGGTTGGAGCTAAACCTGGTTGGACGTTTCCTTCTGTGGAGCTTTAAGTCCTGCTGAACTAAGATGGTCCTGCATCGTATAAACTCTGATTTTCTTTTCTATAAATCCTGCAAATGTGACAGACGCTGATTTTTGGCAACATCATTATATTTGGGTTCGACTCTCAGACTTGTGTCACAGTTTAATGGACAGAAAACTCAGACGAAGGCGTGAGAGGGATTCCTAAAAGTTATTTTAGTTCAATGCATCCTAAAATCTTTATTTCTGAAAATAATGAAATCAAAGAGTCATTTCTGAACCACAGTTCTTCTGTTCAAACTTTTTTTCCTCCACGTTTGGTTTCATTGTGAACAACTGAAGCACATTTAAGGATGTTTTGTGCATTCATGTCAGATTTCTCTGAATCCTCCTGTAGCTGAAGCGTTCTGTGCTCTGCTCTCTCATGTCGTCTTCATTTCATTGTTTTTTATCATTACCAGATATTTTGGACTCAGACAAACGCCTGCAGCAGGTTCCAGAACATTTCTGAGCATTTAGATGAATTTAAAAATCACGTCCAGCTCCAGAGTTCTGACCCAGTCTTTCCTTTAAACGTGCTCGTCATTTATTGGTTATCGATCAGCCGGTTATTGGTGACGGTTCGGTACAACCTCCAGGGACCAGTACAGGTTCTGCTCCGTGTCGAGCTCATCCAGCTCCTGGTAGATCGCAGATTCCCGTCTGAAACCTGCGTCGCCGTCGGTGACGCTCTGGAAAACACAAAAAACAGCGTCAGCGCCGAGCGACACCTGAAACGGTTGCCATGGTTACAGAGAGGCGTCCTCACCTCCGGGGTTGTGGTGTCTCTGACGGTGTTCACGTCTGTGGAGGAGATTAGATGAAAGTTTGACTCGTTCCTTGTTGCAGTCATTAACGGTTGAAGGTAGAAAAGTTACTCACACTGAACGCTGTCGCGTCTCGCCTTCCGTTTGTAGACGAACATCAGTGAAGCGACCAACAACGCGACAACCACAGACGCACAAACCGCCGCCTGAGACAACAGGTTTCCTGTTAGAGACACAGGAGACACGGTATAGAAAGGCTATGGGCAACTTGGAAAAGACTGCTTCAGGAAATGCTGTGGTGGCTGATGGGTTGCCTGGTTGCTCGCCTAGTTGCTGCTATAATGGATGCTGTGGTTGTCTGAGTGGTTGCTATGATTTTCTAAGTGGTTGCTATGGTGGTGATTTGGGTGCCAGGTGGCCTGCTTAATGGTTGCTATGGTAGTTGGCACGGTACTTGCTTATGGTAGTGGTTGCTAAGGTCTCTGAGTGGTTGCAAGGGTGGTTACTTAGCAGTTGCTATGGTGTTTGGTTGCTATATTGGTTGCTAAGGTGGTTGGCAGGCTGCTTGTTTAGTGGTTGCTTGGCGGTTGTCTAGCAGTTGCTATGGTGGTTGTCTGAGTGGTTTTCTGAGTGGTTGCTATGGTGGTGAGTTGGGTGCCAGGTTGCTTCCTTAGTGGTTGTTATGGTGGTTGGCACAGTACTTGCTTAGCAGTTGCTATGGTGGTGGGTTGCTTCTTCAGTGGTTGCTAAGGTCTCTGAGCGGTTGCAAGGGTGGTTACTTAGCAGTTGCTATGGTGGTTGCTAGGGTGGGGTAGCTTGGTTGTTGCTATGGTGGTTGGGAAGCTGCTTGTTCAGGGGTTTGCTATGACTTCTGAGCGGTTGCTATACTGGTTGCTCCGGTGGTTGCTATGGTGGTTGGTTGGCTGCTTGTTTAGTGGTTGGCATGGTGGTTGCCATGGTTCTGTCACGTCTGATCGGAGTTTTAGGTTTTGCTGATCCAGCTAACTCAGAGAAAGCCCGACTATGTTAAACTGGCTTCACAGCTCAGCCCTCAGATTGTGGTGAACTTTCTGGTGAACTGACTTCTATGAGACTCCAGAGTCGTGTAGATTCAGGATTTAATCTGTTCTGGTTGGACGATAACATCTGAAAGATTTTTGACTAAACTGCTTGTAAATAAAGAAGAATTCAGACTTTTTATTTGGACGTCATGTCCAAAACAGGAAGTTGTGTGTTGGTTATCACCTCTAGATGCTGTTTCTTGCAGATCTCAGAACGTTTTTAGACGTTTTCTTTCTCGTCAGTGAAACGTTTAGCTGCTGTTTTTGGAACTCACCACCTGTAACCAGGATCTCAAACTGCTGGCAGGTGTTTCCTCCTCGCTGCCGGCCGACGCCACACCTGTACGGCCCCGAGTCCGACCTGCTCAGCTGTCCGATGGTCACGTTGAAGTACAACTCGCTCCCGAAGTCGATGCGATATCTGCCGCTGGTGGCGCTCACGTCGTTGGTGTCGAACAGGAACTTCGTGCACTCGTCCCTGCAGAGGAACTTCCTGTTTCGTGGCTGTAAAGTCAAAGAGCATCTGACGGTGACTTCTGCTGCCTCGGCGACGCTGTAGACGTTGGGTTCTGCCGAGACCACGCCTCCGTCGCACAGTTCTGTTGAGCAGGAACACAGAGTGAGTCATTAACGTGACGTCGTCAGTGACTCGGCTTCCCATTCATGTGTTATTAGCTGTGAGTTCTGTTTAAAGCTGTTTCCTAAAGTCAACTTCCCTTTTTCTCTGAGCAAAGAATCAACTTCTACTCTCACGTCTGATTGGTCGAGGAGATCCTGCACTTAAAATACAACTTTTACACTTTTCCCGTCTTTGTGGGTCCAAATAGTTAATTACTAGTCCAACATCCAACCAGGGAGTGGTGCAGAAACGGAGCAGGAGGCTTAAAATCAATAAAAATTCAATCTTTTTCATCTAAATTATGACTTTTGCCGTCAGAATGCTGTGAGGTTGCTGATCGTGACTTTGGACGGCCTGTGTTTGGGCTGCTCTCGTGCAAAACGCGTCAGAAATAGAAGAAAATCTGTTATTTTTATGACCTTTAAACATCTCTGAGCTTTTACTTTGAAAGTGCGTCAATCAGCCAATCAGCTGCGAGTCCCGGGTTCCTGCAGTGAGCAGAGCAGAAGACCCTCAAACAAACCGTCACAGCTCAGAAACCAAAAGTCGTATCGAAATAATTCTTTCATTGTGTGAAGCAGAATCTTGTTGTGAACATTCTGATGTATTTTCATGTCCAGACTGTGTTTTATGCAGATTTGGTGGCAGGTTAGAGAGACTCACTGTTTCTGGTTTTCGTAGTTTAGAGCTCAGATATAATGGGAGTCAATGAGAGTTTTGGTGGACTCTCTGAGCTTTGAGGTGATTTATGAAGAAACCATGAATCCTACAGCAATGAGACTCACACTGGGTGGAAGAGGACAGAAATACCTACATTTAATGTATAAAGTGTTCATGTGGAGGAGAAACTGTGAGAATGAGACATCGTTAGCTGCACGTTTTTCAAAAAATGTTAGATTTTCAAAAAATTCCCAAAACTTCAACTGCGACTGCGTAAAAACCGTAAAAGACGTCAAAACACAGATTTAGAGGAATAATATTCAAAGACTTGTGACCAGTTTAAACCCTGAATGAAGCTTCGACTGTAAAACCTTCCAGAGCTACAGGGGTCCAAACATGGCTGGTTCTGGTTCGACCGACTTCCTGTTCAGTCCAATGGGATTTTTAAAAACCGAGCGACGAATCGCTCCCGACAGTCACAGCGCCTCCTGATGGAGCTGCACGCTGGGATCTATGTAGGTACCAAAACCTGACAGGACCCATCAGAAGAAACCTGAGAACAGCTGAGTGAGAAGCAAACTTAAGTTTTCTGTCAGCGCTGGACCTTCAGACCAGATCCGGTCTTCGTCCCTGCAGGTGAGACTTCAACAGACACTCGCCTCTGACTTGGATGCTGAACACCTTGGACGAGCCCAGCGAGGCCGAGGACCCGCTGACGCCGACCCGGTACCGCCCGGCGTCCGAGCGCCTCAGCTCGGTGACGGTGGCGTGGAGCGTCCCGAGGTCCGGGTCGTACCGGACGGTGAACCTGCCGCTCTCCGCCCGGTTCCCGTGGGTCTCTATCAGCACGTCGCCGCCCTCGCACTCGTTCCTGCACAGGTACTTCCTGCTGCCTCGCGCCGCTCCGGGGAACTCGAACGACACTCGGAAGACTTCGCCTTCCACTTTGGTGAAGCTGTTCGACTGAGCGGCAACGAGGCTTCTGTCGAACGTCGACGCTGAAACGCAGAAGAAGCTCCGGTTTAGGTCAAGAACCTGGAGAAGAACCTGTCTGTGGTTCTGGTTCATCGTCTGGGACGCTGAACTGAACATCTTTGGATTCAACTGGAGCAGATTAGTCACCATTTGTTTGACATTTTATCAACTGAACTAATTAATCATTAAAATAATCATTAAGATAATGAACGAATCAATCCACAATGAAATTAAATGTTTAGTCAACATTTAAGTCAATTTATTACCAAGTTCATCAACAGCAAAGTCAAATTTGAGTCATTCTTGAAGCAAACGTGCTCATAGTCGATGGTAAAATGAATTTATTTGGCTTTTGTGGACAAATCAAAGACTTGACTTTGGGTTTTGGGAAACTTTAACTACAGTTTTTATATTTTCTTTTAATTTTACAGACAAATAATTGACAGTATTTATCAGCTGGGGCCCAAATTCCAGCTGGATCAGCAGCAAATGATAATAATCCATCCCTGATCAATATCTTTAGATTAATAATTACACATTAATGATGTTGGAGGAGCAATTAAGGATGAGATAAAACCTCATTAATCCTGAAGAAAATACCAAATTAAGCTGAAACAGTCACTTTATTAATAACAATAAACAACAGAAAGTCATTTTTAAAGCAAATGTGCAGTTTTTTTTAGTTCTACATCATAGTAAACTGAATTTATTTGAGTTTTTTGGACAAATAAAAGAATCTGTAGGCTTGACTTTGGGTTTTGGGAAACTTCAACTGGACTTTTTATATTTTCTTTTAATTTAATAGACAAATAATTGATCAAATTTGTCCGTCGCAGCCCAAATTCCAGCTGGATCAACATCAAATGATAATAATCCATCCCTGATTAAGCTCTTTAGATTAACAGTTAGACATTAATGATGTTGGAGGAGTAATTAAGGATGAAATAAAACTTCATTAATCCTGAAGAAAATACCAAGTTCAGCTGAAACAGTCACTTTATTAATAACAATAAACAGAAAAGTCATTTTTTAGTCATTTTTAAAGCAAACTAAGTTTTTTTTTTAGTTTTACATGATAAACTGAATTTATTTGGCTCCAACTGGATCAGCATCAAAAATAAAGACTGACCTGTGACAAATCGTTCCACTCTGATCTGAACCTAACAGAGCAGAGCAGGCTGATGGAGAAACACCTGTGAGCTGCAGCAGCATCACGTCTCACCTGACAGGAGGCAGCAGAAGAGCAGCAGAGCTCGCTGGACGTCCATGTTCTGGTTCTGACGGCAGCTCCTCTGGTTCTGGCTTCGCTCTGAACTCATTTAAAACCTCCCGTCCGTATCTTTCTCCATCTCGATCGAACGCGTCATCCTTCCTGTTTCTGTGAACGCTGACCTGGTTGTGAAGCTGCAGGAGGAAGCCGGTGTTCACCAGATCAACACTTTCTTATAAATAGTCGCCTCAGCGTGACCACGTTGTGTTTACTGACTGAGTCGTGGAAACGGTGACGTTCACGCCTCCTGTTATTTCACAGCATCAGCAGATGTGGCAACCTGGTGACACAAACACCTGCTCGCTTCACTTCAGGCCTTCTGGAGGGTTTTTCACTGCAATCTGAAATCCTGCAGCTCACGTTTTACGTCAGAAATGTAGAAGAAATAGATTTTAATTCATTTTTTGATTCATTTTAGATGTGGGTACTTTTCAGGCTGCAGGGTGGAGCAGTTGGTAGCATCGTTGCCTCACAGCTAGAAGGTCGGTGGTTGGCGTCCCGGTGAGGACACCCGGGATCTTCCTGCGTGGAGTCTCCATGTTCTCCCCGTGCAGCGTGGGTTCTCTCCGGGTTCTCCGGCTTCCTCCCACAGTCCAGAAACATGCTGAGGTTAATTGGTGATTGTAAATTGTCCGTAGGTGTGAATGTGAGTGTGCTTGGTTGTCTGTCTCTAAGTGTAGCCCTGTGATAGACTGGTTACCTGTCCAGGTGAACCTGCCTTCACCCTGAGTCAGCTGGGATAGACTCCAGCCCCCCATGACCCTGGTGAGGATTAGGCGGTGGATAGGTGATGGATGTGGGTACTTTTCTCACCTCAACGCCAGACGGATAATTTTAAAAAATGATCGTATCAAAATGTCCTCAAAATACCACAAATCTTTGTCTAAAATGAATCAAAGTTTTCCAAAATACTTTAACATGACTATAAAATGACCCAGTGCATCCAAATGTGTCCAATTAAACATTTAAATGACTCAAACTTTCCCAAAAGGCTCAAAGAACGAGTCTAAAATGACTTAATGTGTCCAAAATAATACAGATATTTCACAAAATGAGTCCAAAATGAATTAATTCATGTTAAACTTCACGAATCGCTGATTAAAGATCAATAAATAAAAGTACAGAAGAACGACATCAGACGATGATTTCTGTGGAGGAAGTTTTTATTAAAATACAAAAACCAGATTCAGATCAGTTCACGGTGACGAGGAACAACTTTTTAATTATTAATAATAAACTGACGACAGGAGGAGAGAATCTGGAGACGTTTCACCAGACAAGTCCACCAGGAGGACACCGGATCAGGATCTGTTGGTTCAGCTCCGTGTCGCTGCTGCTTCATGATTCCTCGTTGCTCAGATCTGAGACAGAAAAAGGACAAAAATTAAATGTTGACTTTTACATGTTGTCAGTGATCAGGAGGCCAGGACCGGATATTAATAATAAATACAGTCAACATAAAGAAGTTTCCATCATCCAAAGTTCTCGGTGTGTCCTCACATAAACTGATTATTGATCTTTAGTGATGGAGTAACTCACGGCTGTGGCTCTTCTTCATCCTCCAGCTGTAGAGAAGCAGCAGAAAAATGAGGAAGAGCACGACCACCATGAGGCAGCCGACCCGAGACAGGATGAAAGCTGCAGGAAGGACACGTGTGAAGATATAAATACATGTAACAACACCTGAAGGAAGGAAGTGATGGAGCAGACACGAAGATGTGTGAAGTAGAAACGTCCAGCAGTCATATAAGAACACAGTCTCATGTTCTGGACTTACGGATATTATTTAGAAATATCCTCACTTCTGATTGGACTCATTTGGGACGGGTCCAGTTCTGGATTCTCTTCAGCAGTTTATATTTTTTAAATAACTAAAGACAAACAACTGACAACAAATATTATGACAATAATCATTCTTATTGTCATAATATTTACTTTATTTAATTATTATTTAATTATTTAATTTATTTACGCTTCTGCTAATA